ATTACATGTGAAATTAGATTCTTGTAACCACGCAGGTCTGTTCAAGGCACTCCTGAAATTCCTTTGTGATGGGCAAGGGTGCACACAGCAAGATCACTATTCCCTCGCAACTTTCTCCAAAACCTTTCAGTATTGGAGGCAGAGAATGGAGTGGGCCTTACACTGAATTCTCCTACTTTCAATCTTCTCAGTGTAAGATAAAATCCCATTCTCTTGCCTCTGAATCATTGTTCAGGAGTACCTGAGCAGTGACCCTGCTTTATCATGATCCTCTTCTACTTTGTGGAAAGGGGAATGTCCAGAATATGAAGTTAGCTGTTCCCTGGTTCTCATGACACTTAGGAAGGCACTGGCAAGTATGTGAGAGACACATGTAGACAAAATGGTAACATCTCCACTCTGCAGTATTGCTGTAGGATCTGACAAATCACAGCATTCCTTATTCTTTGTTTAATACTTAAAGATGAATGGGCCTATTAAGTTGTCTAGCTCTATTTATTCATTTTGGTAAACAGACTTTTTCAGTAATTAATTTGTTTGATAAGTGAACTAAAAAGGTCCAGATTTCTTCTGCCATGGGATTACTTATATGCAGATATGAGTGTGGGTGCAAAAATTTCAGAGGTGTCACGGAAATTGAGGCAATACATGAAAACGTAAGTAATGCATGCAGAAGTTGCTTAAATCTAATGTATTCTTGTGTAATCGACCATTCATTTTTTTTCTAGCTTTCTAGCAAATACTGGAATGAAATTGCTTGCTGTCTCCTTTATGAGAATAATTTTTGTATTTGTCCTTTCTGTAGTCGCCTTGCAGCACTCCTGCAGAAAATGGGCTATTTTTCATTCTGTTCTTGTTCTTATGAAGCATTTAATTGAGAAACTATATTGTCAAGAATGGTAAAATTAAACATAACATCAGAAAACATTTTTGTGAGATCATAATTTTACTGTTTGATTGAAAACCAGTAAAGGTTGTTCTAATGTCATCTGTGTTTCATCTTTCATTATCACAAAACATTCTACCAGGGCAGAACCTAGCCAGACTTGTAAAACAACCAAAGGGAGAGCTGACACAGTTTATTACCACTTCCAAATTGTATTACTTGGCTTAAAAACTGGAAGATGGCCATGGATATGGTTTTGGTTTTTTGGCAGCAAGATATGGAAGTTATCAGCAGTTCTGTTGTTGAGACCTTAAATGGCAGACCAAGTCAGCCAAAAAGAGTTACAAATTCCTTGTGGTTTTGACCTTTTTCCTAGTTTCACAGCAGATGATTGAGAGTATGCAGTGGGTAGTTTATGACAGCCTGTGCTGTGCAACTAAGGCTGTAGCGTGGCTACAGGGTGAAGCCTGTCCTTGACATAATTAGCTAAATCTTTCTCTGCTCTACAAAGACAGGAAGATAAGGATTAGTCCCACATGTGGAAGACTGCTTTCCAGAGATGAAGCAAAGTGAATTTGCCAAAACTCTTTGCAGAACTCCATGATTCTTCATCATCCTGTGGTTCGAGTACCACTTCTGATCTCCAGTCCAAAAGCTGACACTCAATATTTCTCTTTGTTTTGTAACAGGATCTTTATACAGCTCCAGAATAACCCCAGATGAAACACCAAAACATGGCAAAAACCAGATGCGACTGCCAGAGTTCATGTCACCTCATTCTTCAAGAATATTGCATGGAATGTGCCAGCAAGAAAGGCTTGGATTCAGTCTAGATATTGAAGTTCATTCTGCTAAAACAACAAATTGATGAAAATCCAATGGAGGAAAGTGATCTTGACAGCAGAGCATGAAGAACCAAGGAAGGCAGAGCCTGACTGATGCAAAGGGAGGTACCTGAGGGAGAGTTAAGGTCATGTAGGTAAGAAGGATCACCTGTGGCTAAGCCATTTTGGAAGGATGTTTGCTTGGTTTGCAGCTGTTTCTTTAACACTGAAGACTGTTTTGGTACTTGGAAGACTAAGCCCAGCAAGCAGGACTGGAAAGATTTTGTTTGTTCCTTTTTTACACCAGGGAAATATCTAATTATGCAGCCAGGGCAGTTGAACAGATCCATGAACGAAAAGTTAAGTAGATTAAAAAACATTGAGGGAAATGGAGGCTAGTTAGCCCTTTCTTTTCTGATGGATCTCTTAAATGAAATCATATTCTAGCACACCCCTCTCAGCTATGATCTCACAACTATTACTAATGCTTGGTCATATGAAAATATAATTTCTCTCCCAGTAAGAAACAAAGGTTTGTCTGTAGCTTCTCCCCTGAGCCTCAATGACCCCTTGGGCCTGTGTGCTCAAGACTCCCTTATGTGCTGTTGGATAAAGCAATAGGCACTTCTCCCCTGAGCCTCAATGACCCCTTGGGCCTGTGTGCTCAAGACTCCCATGTGCCGTTGGATAAAGCAATAGGCATGACTTGGTACCATCCCATTCTTAACCTCTGAATCTCTATCCCAAAGAGGTAGATAACTTATGGTCCAGCTGGCAGGGTGCAGCCTCCAGCAATACTGGAATACTACTTTAATTCATGCCCCTTGAGCTATTACAGACATGCCACTGCATCCCTAAGAAACACACACAGATCATAAATAAGGTTAGATGTTATTTTAAGTAATAAACACTAAGATACAGAAATTTCATTGCAGCCTTCTGTCTTTGTCTGTCTCTTCGTTTCGACTATTTTTAGTTTGCAGTCAGCATTATGACTGTGAACTCAAGGAACACTTGGACAATAGGTACATAAATAATTATGGATAAGTCTCCAGAGCCTTAAACATTAGCAGAGAACTTAAGTTAAATACTGGCTGGTACTATTCTGTGGCTTGGAAATACAAACTGTACTTATACACATTGCTATAATTTTATTTCCCATGACCTGGACATTGGTGGTGGTGGAAGGGTCTGCACAGAAGCTTCAAGAACTTCAAACTGATGTATTACTGAACACAATTCTGCAGAACAAACTGGTGCCATCTTCTATGTTTATCTGCTTATACTTCTTAGCAGTGAACTTTGAGCTGTTACAGAAAACATATTGCACATCCACAGACATGCCTGAGAGTAAAAAGAAAGATTTTTACTGGTTTTCCAATTGATATTTAAAATGTGAGTTCAAAAAATAGCTTGTAAGGATAAAAGCTAAGTGTGTAACAAGGAATAATGCATGGCTAGTGCTTTGGGTTGTGATAAAAAATAGTAACAGTAAAGAAACCTCATGTAAACTACTGAACATTTTCTAGTAACTTGGTTTTTTTCTGCATGTGTTTTTCAAAGAGGACTCTTTAATATTGTTGCCTTTTGAAAAAAATCTCTTGTGAAGTATTAGTAAAGTGGTGCAGAAAAGTATGGTTTTGATGCAGAGATATAAAAGGTTTTTTTCTTAAATTGCAATCTGTATTTATAAAAGCACTGCCTCTGCAGACATTGATGTTGGTAAGAATGTTGCAGAATTATCATGTAGATTTTCTTTATTTGTTCTTATTTTCTTTTCACAGTCTGTGAGAATACTTTGAGTCTTTGGAGACCTAGGTCAAGACAGTGAGTAATATAATTGAAGACTTTCACCTCCTGCAGGTCACCCCTGCAAATGCAAGCCTAGGAAGAAATAGTAAAAGTTAAGACTCCACTGGCATACAAATAAATGTATCTGTGCAACTCTGTACAAAGAGAAGCAGGAGGACAAGCTAGGCAGAGCACTGGTTTGAATGACAGCCTTGATTATCAGGGAGGCTCTTTGTTTATATCTGAGGCACTTAGTACTCTACACAATCTCTGCAATTAAGCAGGCCTGCATCAAATGTGAATCAATCAGCTTTTCTCCTACTAGGACCAAAACATTCTACTCAAACCTCCCATTTCATGTTGTATCACTTTGTAAAACCAAGTGGGGTCCCTGGAACACGTCAAGATCCAGAGTCAAATATTTCTTGATGGAACAGAGTAATTCAAGGTCTCATTTTGAGAGGGCAACAAGACCTCAGGTCTTGTATATGCTTAAAAAGGGAGCAATTTTAATTTACTCTTCTGCCCTTGGACAGTTAACTAGCCTCCAGGTAACAAGTCAGTCTACAAAATTGTGGTAAATTCACAGCTACCAAAGGGGGAAGCCCTCCTTTTGCTCCTGCATCCTCTGCCTGCTAGACCATGGAGGGAGTCATTTTAGATCACTGAAATGGTAGAAAACTATCTCAGAAGATAGGAAAAAAAATCCCAGCAGACATGTAGAAGATGGCATTCTGCCATTCTAGTCAGCTGAACTGGCTTGAGGGAGTCTCTAAGCAGCCCCCGAACAGGTGCAGAGAGAGAGCAGGAATACTCTTTATGGCTCTGTGCCATTAAACCAGTACATCTGCTTCTGAAATGGAACCCAGGAGAATCTTTCTCTGATTCTGTGGTTGCTGTGCAACAGCTGAGGTGTGCTGGGCCTGAAGGAATACAAAGGACAGCAGAGCAAAAATCTAAATGCAAGTGGGAGTCTAAAACATGCTTTTTTAGAGCATGTGTGTGGCAAGTCCTGGGCTCCTCTCTCTCACACCACCTGTGTGTCTTGTATTTCTAATCTGCAAATAACTGTCTACGAGATGAGTATGCTACCCAGAAGACTTCTGACTGCTACATGAGTGACAGAAGACCAAGTCAACCATCTTTCTCAGCTAAAGTACATCTTCCATTTCACTCTGGCTTTCAACCTCTGCCCCAGATCATGATCCTTTTCTATTTCTCCCTATTCTCCTTCCATCCCAGCTGGCTCCTTTTATTCCAGTTCAGTCTTATCCCCCCTGCAAGGGAATGTATCAGGCTGCACCTACAGAAACAACCATTATAGGTCCCTTCCAACTCAGAATATTCTCTGATTCTGTGAATCCACACTGTAGCAGGTGTCCTGAGGAGCTTGTATTTTATTCTAGTAATGGCAATGAGGAGTCGTGATTGATTCTGCAGAGGTGACAGACACGTATCTGGACAAGGTAAGAGAATAAGGCCTGTGAAGTCAAACTGAATATATTTTTTGAGAATTTATTCCAGCACTTTATAGAAAACTGAGGTAACCCTAACAGAAGCAAAACTCAAGTCAGTATTACAGAAAGAATAAAAAAATCACCAGTGAATTCACATGTGAAAGTACAACCATACACTGTTCATTCTTTAAAGCTCTTCAAATTTGTACAAGTTTCAGGAAGACAGATTGGCTTAGTTTGTTGGCAATTCACAGCTACTTTGAAAGCACAAATGAAACTGTTACTGAACTGTAATGCAGTGTGACATTAGTATGAAAGAGTCAAGACCCTCCCTCTGTCTCTGATCTCATTTGAAGCATGACAGCATCAGACTGGCATTACTAATGCACAGGTCCCCAGTGTACATTGGGTCTCACTTTTGCATGCTCTGAACTTTCCATACCCTTTCACTACAGATCTGCAGATGTCAAGGACCCCAAGCCTTAAGCATGCAGTACTAAGTATGTATGAGCAAAACACATTTATAGAAGACATTTTAAAATTAAATGTGCTTTCTCTTGGACCTTCTACAGTCTGGAAAAGATCTGCAGTTGGATCTCAGGAAAACTTTCAGCTTCAGATAAAAACATTTGGAATGTCAAGGGACTACTGGAAGTCCTGAGAACAACTTTATGAACATTTACTCTTACTACAACTCAGTAAAATCCATTAACGTTTCCCACAGCACTGAATCTAAACATGCATCAGTGTGAACCATGAATGATAATTCCAAGTTTCAATATGTCCTAACATTTCCAGATATAACAGAAACAAATGGCTGTGGTCATTCATAACAGAACATTGCACAATGCCGAACAAAGTGCCTCTTTTTAATATGTATAAGGAGATTTCAGATGGATAATGAGACAAAAGCAGATATATTTATTTGAATGAACTTTTAAGAAATATTAAAGCTACTACTTAATAAAATAAAAACCTGATTACCACATAAGAAAATCGTTTTGGAAATGCTTTCTTTTTTCAAAATGTAGAAATTCTTTGCTGACAATCTTATAAAACACATACATGCTGCAAAAATGAAACATAGAGAGGAGCAATGAAGAATTACCTCAGCTTTCACCACCACTTCACTTGATTGAAACTGTTCTTGTGTTCCATTAAGCATAATAATATATTTGGAAAATGTAAATAACCTAATTACATTTTTTTGCTTCAAGCTTCCAGGCACCAGTCATATATCGTAGTCGTATAAAAAGAAGATCCCTGCCCATCTGCAGCCAGCTCCAAAAGGGAACTAACTTAGAACCTGTGATTAATGAAGAAGAAAATCAGAACGACATTGTTAGGAAAAAAATGAGCACTGGCAAGACTCACATTTAAGCAGTCACGAACCTCTGCATTCTCAGCATACTCAGCCCCACAACCTAGATTTTAACATTTATAAAAAATATATATTTTGAAAGCAATTGCTTTATAGTATTACATTATGCCACAGGTGAGACACTCTAGTTTGCAAGCAGCACAGTAATTCCATGTGTGTGACAAGATGCACACTGCTCTCCGTGACAAGTAAAAAGGAACCTGAACACCAATAACTAAGCAAATGATTTATCTAGCAACTTTGGAGAAGAGGACCACCAACTTGTCTTACAACAATAATATGACGGTACCTATCTTCAGGCAAGGCAAGGAACCCACATTACAAAACCAAGCCTTCTACCATCTCTGCTAATATTTGTGTTAGGTGTAACATACACATGGAACTGCACTGAAAGGAAATATTTCTAGTAAAGTTGGCTCAGGACATTCTCTGCTTGTACTTTTCATCATTATTACAGTTCATTATAATTTCTCTTGTCCAGGGGTTGTGCTGAGGAGATTAAAAAGAAGATAAAAAATATGAAAAGGGCAAAAAAATAGAGGAGCTGCATTTGATGGGGGGGAAGTGAGCCGAAGCAAGCAGTATCTTTTGAGCTGGTTCTGCACTGAGGAAAGAGCTTTACTTCTTAGTGGCAGTAACTTAGTGGCAGAGACCTCCCTGCAGGTCTGAAACAGTACCACATCTTAAGAAGAGATGGTGCTCTAAAGGAAGCCTTAGTAGCTGAGAATTTTGGAAGGCAAGATACAGTGAAATGGAATTGAATCAGTTAAGTGATGATGGTCAGACTCCCTGCACAGTGTTTTAAAATGGCACTAATTTATTAACAAATTTCAGCAAGAAGACATGCCAAAATAGTGTTCTGTCCTAGCACTGTAATTCCTTACTTTTGTCTCCAGTGGGACTGCAGAGTTTCTCTGCCATTCTACCCCTTCACCTACACTTTCTGTACCAAGCCACTGCAATAGGCTGGTAAGGACACGAAATTCAGAATTTGTATGGAAAGAAGGCTGTGTGCTATCAAAACCAGGTAAATAGGGCAATAACCTTGGATCTGTTATTCTGGATTGACATTTCAGGAATCTTGTAAGAACAGGAACTATCTCCCTACCTACCTTCTATTTCAGTCCAGTTGACAGCAACTTCTGCTATAGGTATTTTCAAGCGCTGGGCTATATAAAGAAGTTCCACATCAAAAGCCCTGAAGAAGAACAAGAAACACCAAATATAATCACACATACTCCCAGATGAAAGACAGTGGAAATGTTAATTAAATGACTGTTCAGTTATGCAGTTGATACCAATGCTCTATGGGCCATCAGGTACACATGGATGGGAAATTAATTTTCTTGACTGAACATCTCACAAAACAGACAAAAGTAACAATACTTCTCTGTGTCTGTATTTGAAGGTATAGATCACTCTCTGTTCAGCCCATTACTTCCTTTTCCTACTGTCACAATCACAATTTAAACATTTTTGAAGACCATGAAGACCAAGCAGTCAGTGTCACTGCACATCTCTAGTAGTTTCATCGAAGAGGACATCTACCTGCTGTGGCTTTATGCTGATCTGATGGGTGCTCCTTTTACTTTCTCAGTCAAGGAACCCAAGGCAGCAACATAGAAGCGAAAAATTATTTCTGTTACTATGCACAATTAATCCAAACAACAGTTTAGTGACCACTTAATGCACAACACAAAAACCCTCTAGAGAGACGTTTTTTATTGGCTCAATTTTTTGCAGGTTGTATGGCAAAATGAACTGGGACAGAGATCCTGCGGTGTCAGGTGCTCCTTCCTATTCACATTGTCCAGAATGCACCTTAATCCTCACAGTTCTCTGCACAGAGAATTGTCTATGTGTTTCATTCCTGTAAATGCACCTTAATCCTCACAGTTCTCTGCACAGAGAATTGTCTATGTGTTTCATTCCTGTAAATGCATTCTCAAGTAGGCCTTCTGGCTCTGAAACACCAGATTTTTGATATGCAATAAGTAGTCTGGCAGCTTTTAATGCTCATTGAGAAATCAGCATATGAAACTGCCAGTAGTTACTATTGCCAGGGTTGAACACAAGTCACAATTACAAAGATTCTGATAATTTGCCTTAAATTCTTGTTGCTGAGTCGAAGACAGTTTTCTTTTGAAATGAAAGAAAATATTTTTCCACTGGAAGAAATGTATGCAATAAAAAAACCCCCAAAATTATACATTCATGCTTAAAGAGTTGCTTGAATTCATGTCTTTGGTAATTCCATTTAATACTAGAGAAAAGATGCAAAGGGACAAAGTGATCAAGATCAGGCAGAAGACACACTTTAGCAGGTTGCTTGCAAGTTCAGATGTGATTTTCTTCTACTTCAAGCCACCTTCTCCTTTTAAGCAGCGCATTTCTGTAAAACTATTAATAAATGCAATGACAGGATCAGTCCATTCTGAAATGTGCAGGTAGGTCTGACACACAGAGGTAGGTTCCCACTGAAGTCCAGACCACAGCAGGCTGGCCTGCTGGTGGCATCACAGGCACACCTGCACAGACCTGGACTCGTCCTCTCCGTGTACATGGCAGGAGAGCCCGATTCCACACGGGACAGTGCTAAAACAAGCGAGGGCAGCACAGACAGATGTTATCTATAAAGGCTACAGATATTGTGTATAGGGAATTTAGAGCTGCTTTGCAAATCTGATTTTGATTAGGACACAGGCCTTCTCATTGCCACCAAAAAAGTTAGAAGAATAAATTATTTCTTTACCTCAGTGAACTAAATCTGCTCCAAGCAGCCCTGTCATTTCACTGCTGTCCTTACATGAGGGTTGAATATTATTTTATTAATCACTCCATGGTCTCTTGTACTGAAGAGGTAGTATTTAAATTTTTGCTGACATTTTACATTTGTAAGCCAAAAACCCAATGTATTCACCTTTGAATGTTTATGAATCATGTGTATTAAGACTAAATCTAATTTTGTAATACTTACTTAAATGACTAAAAATCTTAAGAGACGCAGAATAATTGTCTGATGAATTAGACTGTATGAGCTTCTCTAAAAGTATTACATAAACTATTAGCCTAGTGAACTAATAGTTATTTGCAGTAATTCCTGTGGACAACTGATTACTGGAATGTCAGCACATACATCACAGAACAACAACATTAAATAGTTCTGTGAACTACAGGGCTCAAAGTAAGAGATTAAAAGCACAGGAATTAATCAGGTTGAACACTAATATTGTTACATGTGGCTGCCATTTGGGTAACAGTGAACATATCCTGAAATTAAAAAAAAACCCAACAAACCTATTCAAAGCTGAAAGGAGAATGACTTCAGTAGAATAGCACTGGGTTATCATTTTTCATCCCTTTTCCCCACCACCTTTCAGTATGCCAGAATGGTTAGTCAAGGCATACAGACTGTAGCGTGCTCAAAAGACATGACAGCAGTACAGGCATACTGCAGACCACCACATCCAGATGGTACAGGAGAACCATACAGAAACTTCCACAGTCAAGATTAAACTTGGGTGTGTTAAATGGAGCCTACCCTAGAGGAGATCAAAGCCAGAACAAGTGGATGAGCTGTAAGTACAATTCATGTGATTTGCCACAAAGCCATTTGTGAGCAGTTAACCTGTGACAGAATTGCTCCCAGAAAGAGCAAGATATTCTTCACACCATGTATTTCATTCTGCTGCCTCTTGGGAGGGGGACACATAGCTCAGAACACCCAAACTTGACTCCAGCCTGAAAGAATTCAGATTCCAATCTAAGTACCCAGAGTTAGACAGCCAAAAATCTATGGTGTGAACGATTTCCCCATCTATTTCTAATAGTGGCTCCATGATGTGCTAATTACCACAAACATGTATTGTAAAATAAAGAAAAAATTCTCCACGTGGCTGTGTTTTGGTTAAGTTACAACTTAAGGCAATGCTGGCTAAAATTAATTTGAAAACTACGTTGGTAAGTGTTTAATTGAATTCAGTCTTTTTCTAAATTCTTACTATATACTCTATATACTATATATACTCTGAATCCTTAAGATTCTTGAGCTTATAAAAGATCTATCTTTAAAAATTATTCTGCCTTTTAAAATTCACTAGGACTCTTTCTGGTCCAATATTATGTGTTTCAAAAACCAAAATCAGGCCTTTAGCTATAATGTTTTAACTGGAATTCACGAGTTTTGTACATCCAAGATATGTTTTTCCAATAAACTCTTAAAGGCAAAGAAAACAGCGAATGGTCAAAGAGGTCTAATAATGAAACAAGATGCCAAGTGGGCTAGACTGCCAGAACTGCCCTAGCTGAACTTGGGCTTTTGAAAGTCCACATGTCAGCCAAGAGCAGGACTTTTTAAAAGACAAAACAGACAGAGTTAAAACAGCAAAAATATTTTTGTGTTGACTAGACATGCAAACAATTTTACTTGCCATGTACAAAACCAGGAAAAAACCAATTTATTCCACTGCTTGTGTTGGTCTGCAATGGCACAAAACTGGGGAAGAAATCCCTGCAGCAATATGAATGCTTATTTTTCTGAAATTTTTATATAGAAACTCATATTTAGAGATCAGTGACAAACTGGAGAAACAAACTTTTTTTTTAACCAGTTTCTTTCCCAGTTTTAAATGTGAAACAGCATACCTTGTTCAGTGCACAAGGCAATTTTTATAGATAAAAGTTATAGCAACAATTTGGTCTCTTCATTGATCTGCTGACTTGTACAATGCCATCATAAATTGCCACTTCACAAAAATATGTCAATCCAATCAGTACTAGAACTACATTTTTAATTTCTCCTCCTTTTATCATAACAGTAGGACTGTAATTGCTATGTCTAGTTCTCCTAAGGATAGATATTTTCTGGCTGGAAGAAAATTTATCTTTTTTTTTGTTGTCAGAAGAAATCAATGATCAAATTTAGGATAGGAAAACTCAGCCAGCGAGACCATTTAATTTTCCAGTATTTCTCCTGTGCATCAAAATTTAACAGGAACAGTTACATTTTTCAGGTCAAGACTGTAGATGCAGAACTAGATCTTCTTTTATAGCCTGAAGTGACTAATTCCAACTGTCTCTGTAATGTTTTTATAATATCTCTTTTAATTTTCTTTTAAGTTTTAAATTAAAAAATCTGCTCCATCCATTTCTGAAAAACAGATTAGCTGTGTAATCAAATTCAGAATCTAAAACACAAAGCATATGCTCTCTGTTCAAAAGGTTCCTTTCATTTCAAACCAATGTCAAAACTTTGCTATTTAGAAAGTAAATTTCAAGAATGTTTCGTTTATACTCATATATACACAGCCAAAGGATAGTTAAACAAAAAAGACAATGAGAACACTCACCAAAAAAGCCAGTTTAGGATGTAAGTATCAAATATATAAACAGTTTGTAGTATCTATTAATATTCAAATGCCTTCTAAAATTTAGGGTTAGATTAAAAAATATTCTAGGAAATATACTCGTCTCTCTTTAAGAAGTGTTACGTGTATGTGATCTTTACTGCCATGACAATAAAACTGTATTTTTCCTTGTATGCCTCAGTTTCAAGATTTCTTAAATGTAAGCATCTATAAATCAAATTCAGTGCAGCAAGAAGAAGAATCTGGTCTGTTTTCTAGTATTTTAAATATTACAGAGGTGATATTCACATCAGTGTCCATTGGAATGAAAAAAGCACGGTGAAGCATTAAGAAGTGAGGGTCTAAGCAGGTGGGAATTATTAGATAGCTGATTTTATATTACTTTAGATGAGTAAACATGTTATGCCTCAATTTTAGTCTAAAGATTTTTCATAAGCATTCACCTAGCACTGTAGTAACCCCCCCAAATCCAAGCCTGACTAATTGAGCAGACAGACAATTTGGTTTGTGCAGAAGCCTGGTGTTCATTCCCTTCAGCAGCTCACCACACGTTCCAGTGCAGCAGCTGGGGAGCCCTCGGCAGGCGCAAGGACCAGGACGCTTAACTCAGATGGCTTCTATCCTATTAAATCCAGCACTATCCTTATTCCCAGAATATCTGAGCCCTGACCAAACAGAACTGAACACTCCTTCTAGTACCTAACAGACCTGCACCCCACTTGTGGGATTTTAAGGTTCAATGACAATCAAATGTCCATTTCCTTGGATGTCAAGTAGCCCCAACACAGTGACGCAGAAGTGGAAATAAATCCAGATTTCAGAGCCTCTTATCCAGTACCAAGATAGCGTTTCCTCTGCTACCCCTTGCTGATGGTTTCAGTATGAACAAGTTGCTCTGTGACTCAGCTGGGGACTCCACCTTGTTCCAGGCCAGCAGAAGTACAATACCAACTAATATTTCTTACTCTTTTGTCTCCATACTCACGATATGTATAGAACCTCTATGGCACAATGTCTAATCAGTTTGTATTTTCTTTTTCACATGTTATGCAATGGAAAGATATCAGGGGCCAGATTTGTTTAAAATAAGAAGTTTCCAGCATTGAGCTGTTTCAGATTCTTACACAATTGTATACAAAGAATCTAATGCTATGGGATGAATGTTTGATGTCCCTATATAATTTCCAACTGCAATTACCCCAACTGTTTGTACAACACTGACATTTCACTTAGGACTATAATTTCCCTGAATATATGCACTCTCCCCACATACATATGCCTCCCCATCTCCCAGTTTATTTCCAGATCTTATGAATATTAACTGGGAAAGGGACAATACTTGATTTGTGCACTGACATGCTATCTCCCAGTTACAGATGCTAAATGACTAGCTGTGGAGCAGAAAACTAACTTTTGTGACCTTACTATAAGGTTTTTTCTTCAGCGGTGGCAATAATCTGAGTTTCTCTCCTCTAAGAGGGTTTAATTTTCCACAGACCTTGCCAAAGCTTTTGATCTTGAAATCTCTACTGTTCTGTTAGATTTGGTTTGAATAAGCCAATGAATATAAAAAAGGTAGGTAAACTCAGAGAGTGTTGATTGAGAGATGAGCATGAAACCAGAAAATACAATACCAGTTTGTACAGAAGTAAACCAAATTTTAAAAGACCCAAAAAAAATCTACAGTTTTAGGCAAATTTGAGACTTGGAATTATCTGAAGAGGTTCTTTCTTGGAAGAACTTGAGTTGTTCTTTTCTTGACACACAAAACACACATTCTTCATCACTAACTAGTACATTTCAGATAAATAAAACATACAAGGGATTAGTTGATGGATTACTACAGATAAAAGAGCAAGAATCAGGCTCTGATTCTAAGAAGGAGGCTCATCCTATAGTGGCACATACAAGGCTCAATGAACTAAGACATGAAGATCTGGTATGTTCCACACCAATGACATAATTACTCTAAAATGTTAGCAATATCACTTTTGCATTGCTTCTACTCCTAGATAAAGGGGTACAGCACAATTGTTTTTATTCTTTCATTCTTTTGGTGCTAGATAATTGAAGTGGCAGAAGAAAGCTTGTTTTTATCTAGAAAACACTTCATATAACCAGTAAGTCCAATTACAAAAAAATCCTTCAGTTTAAAAAAGAATAAAATTTAAGACTGAATTTCTACAGATGAAATTGATTATCCTCATTTACTTTCAGTTTTCTTCTTGAAGTACTAAATTTACAAAATGAAGTTAAATAAGGCAATTTTGAGATGTGCACTTCTGGGCCTCGCATATGAATTTAACTGTTTATTATTAGTTTTTAGAAAATCCCTGTATGTGAAATTTACAGAGCTTTATAGATCAAGACTGGGTTTGGAGGTAGCAGCACAAATCATACTTTGGGCACAGCTATAGCCTCCTTTAGGTCAATAAGCAACCCACTCAGGTGGGAAAGTGATTTTCTGACTGTTGACTGCCCAGTTCAATGCAACAATAGCTCTGTTCCACATGAGATTCATGTGCCTGAACACAACCTTTGCAACTGCAGTCTGGAGGGCCAGTACAGCTGTCAGAGCTCAGCCTAAAACATTGGAACAGACTAGGACTGTAGGATTGCACACGTTTGTGTGCAATGGAAACGTTGTTCAGCAGTTCTGTTACCTGTCAAGCAAACAGAAGCCCATGAGAGACTTTCCTGAATGAAGACAATAGTTTGAAAAGGTTTGATTACACGTAATTAAACTATCATTTTCAGCAAAAATTGTGGCATAGAAAATCTATAGAAAAGATGGTATTTGTGTGAAAGCTGCTTCAGTCCAGTAACAGCAGTCATGGCTGTATCACTCACATACAGGAACTGGTCTACCTAAATTACAACCAAAGGATCTCTAAATTAATTAAAAGACCACACATAATTTTCAATTGTCTTAAATTAAAGATATCTGTCAATGTTCCTCACATAAAATACTTCAGCAAGAAAGCAAGTAAAGAATAAGTGTTTGCTTTCACTTTAGAGTCCTCAGCAATTACAAACACCTTATCAGATATTAATTTTACATAAAATACTTTGGTTAAGCATTACTGACTGTAATGTATAAAAAATAACACTGATAGGAGTTTTGAATATGATTAATAACTCTTAACTTTTCTTATCAAACTAACAGCTTCTCTCTATTTCTTACTGTGCTTGCATGGCTTATATCTGTAAAAGGAGAGAGGACTCTCAGAAATTGGAGTGAATTACAGCACCAAGTGAAACTGTTTGAAATTCCTTCTGGAGGTAAAGAAAGAAGAGTTATTGGGATTTTCAGTTGTTTGAGGCCTTTTTCCTCTTTTTTCCCCTCTCCTCTTTCCTAATCAATTACCATTTCCTACAACAAGGCAAAACCAAAGTATCCTACCTAGGATTACATACATCTTTTGAGAAAAGAGAATAAAATTAAATAAAGAATAAAATTAAATATCCAACTACTTTACTATAATGTATCTTAATAAGAACATAGAATTTTTAGCAATCTTTAACATAACAAGAAATCGAAGCTGCCATGCAGGCAATACTGTAATTGGCTAAACTGAGCAGCTGAGATGCATGTACAGACATCACATGCTTCATCATAGCTGCAACACTAGAATTACTTTTTCAAACCCATGTTCAATTATAAAAAAACACCACCAACAAAAAAAGGAACAATTTACCAGCGTTCTATGTGAAGATTTGAGAAAGTCTGCAAGGCAGCTTCTCTGGTTAGAAGTTTAAATCCACACTGTGTGTCCCGGATCTCTTTGACACAGAGAAACCACACCAGGAAGTGGAACCCATACATGAGGAGAGTTCGAAAGTAAGAGCGCTGTGGACAAAAGGCAAGAAGTCAGGTTTTTTATTTGAGTGATGAGTGAAGTTCTTGAAGAGAGCTGCCTTACAGGACAGTAACTCTGTTTTGTGATAGCTTTCAAAGTTTGTAAACTGGTTGTATTTTTACACTGGAATGAAAACAGAACTTAACAATTGTTACAGTACAAACAAAATTTTGGATGAAAGGGAAATATTTTGATCTAGGGAAAGACTTGCCAGTCATATGTATAGTCTAGGACAGGAGAAATCCAAGTTTCTTTTTCTCCTCTCCCCAGTTCAGAGCAGTTTTTCATTCTGGATTATGCCTTATTAAGTAAAGCAGGAACCTGCACCTGGATTTCAAATAATTAGTGGAACAGCCATAGTATCTTCTGTATGACTCTTTGGAAGTATATAATGGAAGTATATATATAAGTGAAAATCAGGTCTAAAGTAAAGGCTGCCGTGCAAGATATTTCATTTTATATTTCCAGCAATGTTATCGTCATCTCATTCTTTTGCTTTCACGGATATATGTTATATTCTTCATAAATGTTCCCAGCCTATTTGTTGGTTACACTTGTGCTCTTGACACAATAATCATACAGATAAATTTGGCCATGAACTCCAAAGGCTGGAGTCTGGGTTTGCTGAGGTCCGTCTTAGTCTTTTATTCAAGATAGCTCCTAAACAACTAGAACTGTGATCAAAAATTTGCTTCTGAACTCACTGCTATTCCCAAGCTAAATTTAAGTGATTGTATCTATGACTGCAAGCCACATATCATGTAAAATCTTTAGGAGCCAATGATTCAAATGTTAAGTATCTCTGGGTGATAAGAAATGCCTTTAAAGCCAACAATTTAGAATCTCACTTGAAAAATAGAGAAGATGCTTGGCTTATTATGTAATAGCCTTTGGCTTAAGGAAAACCAAATTCATAGCTTGTGTCTTTTGAAAAGTGCTCCTGCCCCAGGTTAATGGTGGATCTGGTGTGGCTTCTTTGGCTCTTTTGGCTCTGTGACCAGGAACACCAGGCTCCCACCAGGACCAGAAGGGAAGTGCTAGGAGGCTGCATGACTGCCTGACAGTGAAACTGTGCACTTACTTCACAAAGAGCAGTTCCTGGGTTATGCCTATCATTTCTAAGACCATGGAAGTCATAGTACAGATTCATTAAAGGTCATTAACAATTCTGGAGGCAGACCAGAATTCTTGATGTATTGAGACTGAACACAAGGGTCAAATTCTGGTCTTAATAAATTTAATACAGCTGATTATCACAACTTCATTCTACAGTTTTAGATGCCAATAAGTCCAGAGAGAAATCCCAACATCTAAAAGATTGCTCTGCAACTTTTTAATACCTATTGTACTACACAACAGTCTTGTCCCACCACAGTAAAGGTAGTCTTTCTATTCCAGTCTAGGGACAACAGGGTGATCAAACAAAATGGGCTACACATTTCCAGCAAATCAGTTTCTGATTCCTCTATTAAAAACTCAGAAATATGGGGAGAAGCAGTAAGCAAAGGATGGACGTCCTAAAAATTGTACCCTTGTATTAAAAGATGAAAGTCCTGTTCCAATTCCTCTCCCTAATGTAGCAAGAACTTTGAATGCACCGAGAAATGTCTGTCCATATCCAATACTAGACCATGACATGAAACATTTTTTTCTGGGCTCCACTTTATCAGCTACATAATCTCCTTGTAATAGTTCCTAGTTTCTGATAATGATGAAGGCTTTTTTCTCATTGAGTTATTTTTTTTGGTTTTGGCTTCTTTTTCTTTTTGAGGATGAGGATGCTTTCCTCACACAGAGCAGTATTTGCAAGAACTCAGGAAGCATGAACCACTCCAATACTATCTCATAAACCACAAGAAAAAAGTACAGATCTGCCAGTATCAGTGTAATTTCTTTTGAATGTCTGTAACTATTTTAGTAGTCGTGTATATATTTTAGAATAATTTCAAGTACTGAACATCAGTATAAACAAAGCTTACTCTTGAGAACATTCAACATGATGAGCACGTCCAATGACACTAAAAATGAGCCCAGCAATGTGTCTGTTGCAATACAAGTTCCATGCCTGTGCTTTGTCAATTACTGTCTGCCAAGACATCAGAAAATCAGATGTAACAAAGCCATGTGCCTGTGTATCACTGTTCATTACACAAGAGTCACACAGAGAACAGTACTGTCTGTGTGTTCAAAACTCAAAAATTTTACTATGAGTAACACAGAAGACTTAAACCACTTTCCCAGGAATAGAGGTACTCTTCAAACAGCTGGCTGCTAATTATCCCTAACTCATTTTAAAAAGGTTTCGAGATCTGCAGGCCAAGTTCTTGCATTGGAAGGAAATCAGTAATAATGAACTCATTAGCTGCCTCCCCTTCCAGCCCCAGTACTGGTTGCTGGCCACTAATTCTGTCAGAGTTTAGAAGCTCTGCTTGTGTGATATCCTCAACTATAAAAATTAAATCCATAAATTGGAACACTAACTGAAATGAGTTCAAAGTGCCAAAAATCTAGAATACTCTTTGTGTATGATGGAGGACCTCCTGCATGTATGACAAGCTTTTCCTTATTTTTAGCTTCCATTCTTTTAAAAATATTGATTATCTAATTGCAAAACCTGTAGAGCAGAAACAAATAATGGAAATATTTGGTTATAAGTACACAGCAGGAAATGAAAACAAACCTTTGCTATTGAGTCCTTCTCCAGATGAGCTCTAGAACCACACGAAATAGCCATCCCTTCCTGTACAGGAATATAAATTAAAGAGTCATTTCTTAAATGAATATTATTTGAATTGGTGGAATCTTGTGCTGAGAACCATAAAAAAACCCCCAAAACTTCAAAGCAGTACACTTTTCTGCTTCCTATAGCTGCACTTCTTCTACTGCTAGGTTTTGACCCTAAATCAGTCTTTTACAATGAAGAGACAATCTAAAGTTTATTACAATTTGCATAAGGGGCATGCAAATTGCCTCCATTCATTCAGGTCTTGTTTAGCTTTACATTGTTTATGCATATGGAAAATGTTAGCAGCACAGATAAGTACGCAGCATTCCTAGGAATTAAATGTTATAATGTACATTTTCCTTAAGTATTGCACAATGGAATGCAACACAGAATAAATCACTTGTTGCACTGATGTATCTTCAAACGAATAAAATGCCATGACATCAGCCAAAAATATAATCTCAAATTAAATCAACATGTTAAAACAAAAGGTTTAACACTATTCTCATACTACTTCCCACATAAAATCTCACAAGTCTACTCTATTTGAGACCAATACTGAAGAACCAGCAGCTGCTGCAGCCCTGATAGGGAAGAGTGTCAGGGTCACACTGCTGCCCATTGCGTCCTGCACTTGTGGCTCTTGCACTCAGAGGCTGTGACCCCTTCCACAGGTACATTCCCCACAGCTTTGTCTGAAAGGCTGCACATCTTTTCTGTCACTCTGGGAAACCAGCTACAAGTACCTCACCCATCTGCATTTAAGCAGAAAATAAACCTCAGTTCTTTCAAGTCAAGCTTCCAAAAGAGAATGACTGTGCAGGGAGGTGTTCTTGCTCCACAGGTTCTTGAGTTTTTGTTTACAATAAAAGTTCTTCCAAATCCTGTCATTAAACTAAGGACCCTGAGAAAAGAAGACCTGTATAAAAGAGGGCGGAATTAAGATGCACCCTTATAGGTATATAGAATGACATCAGATAAAATGAAAAAACAAATCAGTTCACAAAGAAAACTAAGTAGGCATCACATGGTATTTATACAGAACAGAACAACTTCAAACAATTTGCAGGAAGGATAAACAGCAAACAGAACATTCTGTACTGCCTTGGAGTAGGCACAATTGATGCAAAGGAGGTAAGAACTCAGTGAAAGCTCCTTCTGACAGCTCATTCTTGAGGCTTCTAATCTTACTTAAATCTTCATACTTACACCTGGATCTTCAACTGAATCTCAAAAAATTTGAAGAGAGCTACAAAAGTCTATTTTGTGTATTAAAGTATGCATGTGTATTGCAGTAGAAGCACGAGAATTTATACTCACAGGCCATGGCTGGAGATTCTTTAGACCTTCTTCTACTTTTTCAATATCTGCAAATTTTGTAGCTCCATCTGCATCAGCCATAAGAATCGTCTTCCCCCGAGAACTAAAGACACCCTGCAATGAGAATAGCCAATAAAAAAAATCAACATCTTTGTAATAAATTATTTGTCACAAGCTAGGTGCAAGACACTCCAAAAACCTATGTAGTAACAAGACAGTGATATCTCACAGATTCCACACAACAGGTGAGTATTAATATTCTGCTACTAACAGTAATTCACCTATTTATATGGCAATAACATCTACAGGCTTCACACTCTGAGTGTCCACAGTGACAGACAATGCAAGAACATGAAAGGCTAACAGTCATTCCCAGGAAAACCTAAATCTAAAAGGCAAAAAGTTGCTACAGTCAGCTCTACAGGGGAGCAAGAAGTAGGAGTGATTAGCAGTTGCCATGGTAGTGAATGGCTTTTCTTTGTCATGAACGCTGTGGGGAAAGAAGGATGCAGCTCGAATTTTTCCTAACACTATTTAATGAAAATTCAAGACCTATTTCTCAAAACTAATTTAAGACAGTCTCAAGTCACAGAATCACTGCAAAACACTTGTGATACACAGGTTTCACAGCTTATGTTGCATATGTTTGGTCAGAAAAATCTCTTAATTTTTGAAGGGGTCCAGACAGGAAAACAATTATCAGTGGGTGTGACAAATATACTGTTGCAACCAAGCACATGTCCATCTGGAAAAGTCTGTCAAAGAAGTAGCTGTACACACATCCACTCTACATAATGCATTGTAAAAGTGTATCACACAGAAAATTTTGTCCTTCTCTTGGAATAACTTCAAAATTGTATCTCTTACAACAGTTCCATGTGTTCTAATATTATGTTCTCTCCATTTCCGATAGTTATTCATTTTTCATAAAAAATAAATTGACATACTAAAGATAGAGCTGAAAATACAGATAAAGACGCTCACTGACAATCCACAGATGATACCACCCTTTTTCAGAAAAGCAAGGTGTCATGCACCGTAGGAATATAATGTTCCTTCCAAATGTGTTACAGCTATTTCATATTTAGAACATGTTCATTTTACGGTAATATCCATGGGAAAGCATGAATTGTGCTGTTCTGACTATCAAGTGTGGGTGATAGCAGTGGGCTTCAGTAAACATAAACTGTGCTGGATGAGTTCTTGTTTATCAGCCATGTTAAAAACCACAGCCACGACCTGGACAGCGAAGTTTGCCAATTTGGCTCTATTTTGTCTACAAAAGTTTAACTTTAATTTATAACAGTTTTGGTGGTTTGTTTTTTTTTTTTTTTTTGGGTTTTGTTTGGTTTTGGTTTTTTTTTGTTTTTGTTGGCTTTCGTAAATGCAAGCTGATTTCTAAGTAGAACTAACATGAATATGAAATTCAAGCACTTTTTTCCACTTTGAATTTTCATGTTAAAAAAAATGTCTTTGTTATTGATCTTTCTGGAAAGACAACACTGCTACCAAGATCTAAAATAAACTTATTTCGAAAAAAAAATTTGCTTTAATTTATAGAATCTGAACTCAGTTTTCTCCTAATCATTTTGTTAATGCATTGAATTCAAAATGTCAATCATCACAGTTCTATCTTCTGCATACTTGGGCACAGGTAGTTCAAACAGAGAAGGAGATGAAAGTATTAATTACCGTCCTGACTGCTCCCCCTTTCCCTCGATTTTTTTCCAAAGATATCACTCGCACTTTGTCACTTCCATATTTCTTGCAGTACTCCTTTGCAACCTGACAGATACACAAAAAGCCAGCATAAAACAAAACCAGGAACCAAGGGAGAAGTGTACATTTGCTCACCCTTCAAAAGAAAATAAATTAATAGCACAGAGCTATAACCACTTCAGTCAGCACAAATACATTGCCAGTGTTCGCTGGAGTCTGTTTGGGAAAATAAAAACAGTTCACAGTCAAAACAAAAAGACTGAAGAAACAAAGTAATGTTCAATAAGAACAGGATATTTCCCTAAGCAATTTCAACCCCCATCCTCCCACCTCCAAAAAACTCAATCCTAATTTAATTTATATCATACTATTACAGACCTTTTCTATTAACACCAATAGTTCATAAAAGAAATACAATTTTCTATGACAGCTACCTACTTCTCACCTGTCTTGCTGCTATTCGTGGTTTTGAAGAAAAATTCATATTGATCTAAAACTCCATTCACACTGCAAGCATCTGAACATTTTGGTAAATATTGTGGGGAAGAGAAAGCTTGAGCTTTCCCCTAATTTTTTCTAAAGGTTGTCTTGAGTCCTTTTAACTCCAGAGGCCTGCAGCCACTGTATGCTCAGTTGAAAGAGATGGTAGAAAGAATGCACAGCAGTCAAAATTATATACCAGCAATCCTTAAAGCAATATACATCTTAGTGTCTACCTCAAACATCTTCTAAGCAGTAGGAAAAAACCCCACAAGCTGGCTAGCCTTCCTTGCCAGTGACAGATAAAAGTTGAAGCAGAAGAATACAGAACTTCAATACAGAATTTCAAAATTAGTATTCTGAAAATACTAATACTGGCATGTGGATATTTAAATGAACAATCCCACAATGGGTGTGGGAAAGAACCGTGTCAGCTGTTCTGTCTTTCACAGTATGAATGAAATAATTTTAAAAGACTTTTTAGCTTCCTCAAATTCGTATTTACATCATCACTATGGACATGCAGAGTATTAAATGTGAAATTTCTCAAAGTTAGTATTAGCATTCTCAGCTGCAGGAAAGTGGCTGTCACAGTTGCCAATCAAGAAAACAGAATTTGCAAAAGAATTGTATGTGTACTCATGTGCCTATGTGCCATCCATGATGCAATGACAGAGATAATTCAGATATGTGAACTTCAACTGCCAACTGCTTCAAGTACCAAAATATAAATATAAACCACTGGTATATTCCACAAATATACAAAAATCCAAACAAAATTCATGCCTCTGATTGCTTGGGAAGACATTACTTTTTCTTACCTTTGCAGTTTGATCTTTACTACCATCATTAACCACTATCACTTCATAAGTGAATGAAGGATCTTGTTTCTTGAAAATAAAAGAAGAAATAATGCATTTATTTCAATTTCATCAATTTCATCCAATTTCTTAATTAGGCAATAGGTCTTTCAAACGTCATTATTCTTTTCTCCCTAGCAGTCACTCATAGTTGCCAACAGATACTAATATGATGCAGTAAATTTGTTAAGATGGCATAATTACAGAATTTTGCTATATTTGATGCAGGTAATGTTACACTGGCTTGTCATGCTACCATCTAGAACTGAAAAATCAATTTGGCTGTAGAAGATGGAAGCTCAGAAAAACATCACTTTTAAGAAAACTGAAACAAAACAAAATCCACAAACTTTCACAATGAGCTTCTTACCCAGAGAACAAATCTTAATGAAGAACAGATGCTTATGAGACTTGTTGGAACAAACCAGGACTTAGTTTAGAAAGTTAAATGCATGGTTAATCCTTAGCCCTGTCTTGGGCAGATTTCATGCATATGAAGGTTGTTTCATCCTACAGTAGCACATTAAATTTTTACTTATTTAAAAATCCTTTTGGCACTTGATCTAAAAATAACTGGTAAGAGACAGAAGCATTATTTCTAAGTGGTCAAGTACTACTGTTTTAAGGTACACTAACATAAAAAAATAACTAGATCACTGACTTCTTATACATAATACACAGAGAAAGAATGAATCTTGAATGCAAAAAGAAAATACCTGTCTTTTTTCTAGATAATCCAAAGCTTCATCCATCATAAGTGGTACTAGAGAAAAGGTGGAGGAGGTCAGGTTAGTAGCTTTTAACATCAAAAGCACCTGCACAAGCAAGCTGACAACAGCCACAAAGCAAGGCTGAGCAAATCAACTCTGTCATAAAACACTACCTTCAGTAAACAAACTTAGCAGCGGCAACTCTAAGTGCTGTCTTTTCTGAATGCAGAAAGAACACTGAAGAAAATCACACACGTGACAAAAAGACAGGATAAAAACTTTTATTTGGAGGAACCAAATTTTCATTTTGAAGTATGTAATTCTCTACACAACATTAAAGGAAAAAAAAATCATTCTTTGAGACTGACCCTGTAAAGCAGCAGTAACTTCATGTATTTAAGCAAGCTGTCAGCTTGTGTACTGCCACATCAGCTTTAGAGCCTGATTATTTCTATCACATCTAAAAGCCTTCACTCAGTATCAGGTACTCCTATCTATGGCCAAGTCAAACACAAACCCGTGAGATCATCACTTTTTCTGCTTGTCTGAAGCTGCTGTTGTTTAAAGAGTAGGAAGCTCTCAAATCAATTTAAAAGCTATTTTACTACTTCTTGCCTCACAGCATTTGCAGGGGCAATGAACAGCCCATTCTTCTGGGGTTTATTAAAACTAAGAGGATTCTTACAAGTGCCCCATGCTATTTTTAGCAGTAGAAATCAAGTTACACTATGCCTTAATTTTGAAATTCAATGTACTTGGACTGTTTTCTGGAAACTGTGTCCAAAATCTGATTCGTAATCTGGCCTGCCAGAATCTACTGCTAATCCAACTGACCTCCCCATTATTACAGTAACAACAGATAGATTTTCTTCTTTTCCTCAAAACTAGAAAAATCTTACACCGGTTTTCCTCATTGTACGAAGGCACAACGACAGAGAGTCCTCTCGTAGCAGGATCATGTATATTTGGTGCAGATCCTTTCCTGCACTCAGCATCTTCGTGCGGCATTGTTTTGGCAGTTACGTGAGCGATTACACAAATCTGTGATGAAGAAGAAATGAAAAAAGTTGTCAAGCATTCTGTTAGAAGTTTACCTAGCTGTTAAATGTGCTACCAGGGGCAACCAAGTATATTTTAGTAATGAGGTGGGTCACTGCTGTGGAATTTCACACAGGACCAAAACCCTCTCACGCCGTTTGGTTACTCCCACTCTGACCACTGTCAGCATCATTGGCTTGCTGCTGTTTTTATGTGCAAAGTCGTGAAGCAAGCTCCTTCCCCAAGTAACCTTGAGTACATAAGCAGGTGGCACCTCTGATCCCCCACCAAGGCACCGAAATCAATGGCAAGGCTCACGACCAGCCAGCCATATGTGCTTGCAAAACTAAGGCTCTGATTACTTTTTGCATGGCTGAAAAAAAAAAAGCAGTAGAACTTGGGTTCTGGAGCACTTTTACTTGGTGCCATCACACACAGAATCACCTGTGTTGAAAAAGACCTGTGAGATCACCGATGCCCCAACACCACCGTATCAATTGGACGGCAGCACTGAGTGCCACGTCCAGCCTTTCCTTGAACACCTGCAGGGACGGTGCCTCCGCCACCTCCCGGGGCAGGATGCATACGTGGCACTGTGGACAGGCAGCACAATTTCGCTTCCCTGGGGGGTCGACCTTCTTAATCTCGCAGGGCGTTTCGAATACGCAGAAACACAGCCACTTCCCAAATGGTTAACGCAAGGCGTTACCAGGACATTTCCCAACACGCACTGTAAGGCTGAAATGCTCCGTCCTGGCGCCCTTTGCCAGGCACGGCACCCCACGCCTTGCCGAAACACGTTCCCCGCACAACCCCCGCACAAGCGCAGCCCCGCCGGCTTCCGCCGCCCGGCCCGGGCCGGCCCTGCCGCCTGCGGGGCGCGGCGCGCCGGAGCCGCGCTGCGGGTCACGCCCGCGCCCACACCGCCCCGGCCCCCCACACCGCCCCGGCCGCGCGGGGTCCCTCGAGGGCTTTATGCGGGGAGCGGGCTCGGCGCGTCTGGGCGGGACGGGGTCGGTGCTGCGGGGGTTGTGGAGCCCCGACGTGTGCGGGAAAGACTGAGCAAGCGGGGTTTGGCCAGGCGGGAAAAGGCCCGACAAAAAGCGGAGCTCAGTGAGGCCCCGAGCTACCTGCTAGCAGAATTGCGGAGTATAACGAGGTGGATCCTTAGAGAGCAGCGAGCCCAGCTCCTGGCCCTGTGCAGGACGCCCCCAGGAGTCACCATGTGCCTGGTTATCCAAGCACTTCTTGGGCTCGGGCAGTTTTGGTGCTGTGACCTCTGCCCCCGGGAAGTTCCAGTTCCAGTGCCCAATCACCCTCTCGGTGACAAACGTTTTCCTAATCTCTGACCTAAACCTCCCCTTACAGCTGGTAGAATTATAAGTTAAAACTGTAGGGAATACAATGACTTCCCATTTATAACTACTCGCTTTAGAATAGTAAAATGGTTTGGCTCAGAGGGGATTTTCCCAGATCATCCAGTTGCAGTCCCCTCTGCCGTGGGCAGGGACACCTTTTGCTAGACCAGGTTGCTCAGAGCCCCATCCAGCCTGGCCTTGAAAGCTTCCAGGCACACACGGGGCATCCACAGCTTCTCTGGGCAGTCTGTCCCAGCATCCTTGATTCTGTTGTATGGCTTAAAAGCTTCAAACGAGGTTTAGCGACTGCTGTTACATGAATTGTAAGACAACAGACCTTGTGTTGGGCCTGTAGTCCAGTGGTACTGGACCAACACATATGGATCCAACAGGGGCCAATTCATGCTGGCCATTATGTTGGTGATGCCTCTGTGTGTTAGTTTCCGTTTGGAAGACTTGCCTATTCCACTTATCTTTTTTCCATCCCTGCTCCAGAAGCACTATTTTAACAAAACTGTGAATGCTTTTTTAAATATTGGCAACACTTTTTATAAAAAAAATTTTTTTACGTTAATGATCCCTGCTTAAAATACTAATACACAGGTACTGTTACTAGTGCATGATTAATAATAAGTATATATTATTTCTCATCTGAAGCACTGCATGAAGCATATTTTGTAATTTTATATTTTCTCAAAGATTCTAAGAAAAACTGAATAATTTAAATCTTTTATACAATTTTCTGCATCTGAATGCAGTCCTTGAACTAACAGATATTTCACACAGTGTAGTAAAATTTTCCTTTTTGCATTCCTTGAAAGACACCTTCCTTCCTTCACCCTTCTGTCACTAAACACTTCTTTCGATTTAAAGCAAATAGGATTATTGAAGTGAAAGCTGGCAGTTTTTGTTACGTGTATGTGCAGGCATGTTCCTAGTATGGAAGAAGCATTTTGGAAGTGACTTTAGGAAAACATCTTTTTTTTAGATTAGTTTAAAATTTCCTCATTGTTCTGTAACTGTATTGCTAAGCAGCTTTGTCAGGCGTCTTGATTCCCAGATTGTTTATTGTTTTGGGTTTGTGCTTTTTTAAAGATTTTTTTATGTTTTTTCTCTTGTGTCTTGCCTACTCAGGAGCTTGCATTTGAACTTCTCTTTCTATTTGTTCTAGAACTGTGGAACCGTTGGAATATTACAGAAGGTTTTTGGTGAGTGAAATATAAGATGCCTGTACAAGTTCCTTATAGTGATTTTTTTTCTTGCTTGCTTCTGCTCTTCTGACTGTATGGAAATCTGAAACTATTGCAATGGAAACTGAAAAAAACCCCAAAAAACTGTCTGAGCAGGCAAAAAACATTTGTGCACTTCAGAAAATGTTTTTCTTTCCATCTGTGGTATTGATGCTGTTCATCTTGATGGGTAAATGCTTCTCTTGGTCTTGAAAGTAGTTCAGGTTAAATTTGACCAGGATGCAGGTTTTTGCCTAGTATAAAATTATGTCAAACCAGGCTTTTAGATGCTGCAAAAATTAGTAATTGCTTCTAACCATGCTAACTGTGCACACTGTAACTGCAGAGGAAGAACACTGACTTTTGTTACCTGAAATTAGTTCAGCTATTACTGAAGTTGTATTGACTTAGAAATCAATCCGGTATTATTGCAAATTTTGGTTCTCATAATTGAACCAAAAGCGTTTGCTTTTGAAAACTTGAAAGTATGGTGAGTAACAATTCAGATCTAAAATGATGGAATATTGTTTTCAGTTTCTAACATAAGGGTTATGTGTTGTACAGCTTCTGACTGATGTTATTTGAATGCTGTATTTTCTTTGGGTGCAGGGTTTTTCTTTTGTTTTCTTTAGTTCACTCTGATTTTAAGAGCTCCACTAAGCAATGCAGCAGGTAGAAACTCTTATTTTAAGTTACCAGTGCATGTTCATTCTTGGATGATGTTCTGAATCTAGTCTCCTGTTGTTCCTGTCCTTGAGACAATCAGTCTATTGTTATATTATCTGAATAAATTTAAATGGATTTTTAAAATCAGGAGTTTTCTTTTGCAGGCCTGCAACCACAAACTACGTATCAGTTGATTAAAAACTAGCTAGAGTGTGACTGAGTTTTCCCTAGTATTTTTGAGAAGACAGTATTCTTTTTTATGAAATTCTGTAGCAAAAATATTACTATTATTTGATAAAGTATGTTTTCTAATTTGAAGTTTGTAATTTTTCTTTAGAAAGAGAACTGTCGGCCTGATGGAAGAGAGTTGGGTGAATTTCGGACAACCACTGTCAACATAGGCAAGTGCTTGTGTGGAATAATAATAATAATAATGGGGGAGGTATTATTAATATCAGGTTATAGTGGTGACCTTAATGACTTGCAAACTGGTTTTCTTGGTTCTTGCATTTGGAAACCAGGAAGAGGAAGGATTTTTTCTTTACAGTTTCAACAAGGATGAAGAAGAATGTGTGGTACAATGACATCCTTGAGCATTGTTTTCAGTCCTGTTCCTGGGCTAATGTGCACGGTGCAATTAGTCAATTCTGCTCCGGTATGTGCAGCACAATTTAGGACATCCTTGAGCATTGTTTTCAGTCCTGTTCCTGGGCTAATGTGCATGGTGCAATTAGTCAATTCTGCTCTGGTATGTGCAGCACAATTTATCAATCACTTCCAGTTTGGTGTCATCTGCCCTCACAAGTTTGCAGATGACACCAAACTGGAAGTGATTGATATGCCAGAGGGTTGTGCTACTATCCAGAGGGCCCTCAGCAGGCTGGAGAACCTCAGCCATTTTGTGTGATTGACTTATTAATACAGAGGTTCTTTCCCACTCTGGATTAGAGACTTTGCTTGGGCTGTGTTTAGTATAAAGTGATGGAAAGTAAACACTCCGTGAAGGTTGGATGTTATTTTGCGCCCTTTGAAGGGAAAATAGATTTTATTGAACAATACTTTTTCTCTTCAGGTTCAATTACAACTGCAGATGGTTCTGCCCTGGTGAAATTAGGAAATACCACAGTGATTTGTGGAGTAAAAGCGGTATGGTTGGTTTTTATCTTTATTTATCTGTTAGCTGACTTTGTTCATTTGTGTTTAGAATTAATTGCCCATGGAGTTACAATAATGTACCAATCAGATGCAATTACAGTCTTTCACCTGAGTTACTTCCAGACCTGAAAGTTAATACATAATGTAATTGTATAAACCTACCTGTATAGTCTGAGAAACATGTATTTTTGTGATGCCCATCGTGTATGGGGAAAGATGTGTACAAAAATAAAGTCCTTGTTATTTCTAGATAAAAGCTCTGTAATTGAAAAGTTCCTGAACATGGATCAGTAAGTGCACTGGGAAAGAGCTGGCTGGACTATTGAATGTCTTGTAGCCTCAACTCTACTGCTGGCCTGCCCTGACCTACAAGACAAATGACTGTTCATCCCTGTGCTGACTTCTTCCATAGGAAATTTACAGACAAGGACTGATTAAAAATGAGTTGTGCAAATTACTCATTGTAATAATAATTGGGAAGAAAATAACCATTTGTATATAGAACAGCTGAAAAATATTTTGTACAAAATTCTTAATTTTTCTCTTTTCTATTTCTCCAGGAACTTGCAGCACCTGCAGTGGATTCTGCTAATAAGGGATATATTGGTAAGTGTTTCAGTATGGATTTGAGGTTTTGTATTACTTCAGCTAAAAGGCTGTGGAAATTGTGTTCTGTAGATTTCTTAAAAGAATTAATTTTGATAGAATTTTATTGCAACCCTTCAAATTAATTTCGAAATTGGTATCCAGGCATCTAGAATTCCCTTTGCTTTGCTTGTGAGTTTTCCATATACAGCTACCTTTTTGTTGCTGTTTCCAGGCTGGGCATGAAAGGAAACCTGCATAATAGTGTATATTAAGAGGGAGAAGATACTCTGTAAAATATAGTGGCATGCATGGTTGTGCAAAGGCACGTTAACTTCTGTTTCAAAGTCCCAGTAGGCAAAAAAATGTAACTGAAAAACAGTGAAATAAAAACTGTTTATTTCTCAGAGAACTGTAAGTCCCAGTGGTACCTGCTCACTTGTTTGGAGTTTCTTTGGAAATAAAATAATTCTGTGGAATTGAGAGACAAAATCCCCTTTTTCTAAGGCATCTCCCAAGTATGTTGTTTTCAGTAAGCTTAACTATGCTTAGGTTTTTTTCATGAACGTTTATGCATGTTTTTGCTTCAAGTCTAAAGCCTCAGGTTTTACTGGTGGATGGAAAGCAGACAGCATACCAGTGAAGTCAGGCAGTGGGATGGAAATGGTACTGCTTCTTGATCTGCTGAAAAGTGCTTAACACTTAAAGTATTTGTGTGGGTCATGATAGAGAATGATTATAAACAGAGAATGGTAGCTAGGAGTATGTGCTTTTCCATGGAATATATATAGTTTCTGAGTACAGAGAGTACTACAAGTTCTTTAATACAAACTCATGCATAACTGTTTTTGAGGGGAGAATAAGGAAGGCTTGCTTGAAAAATTCTTGGTCTTGCCTTTCATTTGAAGTACATAAAATAGTATTAAGAGCATCTGTTATTTATTTTTTCTTTTTGATTACCCATTGCCTGCTTTCTTTGCTTTATGACTAATGATTCTTGCTATATAGTTCCAAATGTGGAGCTGCCATCCCTCTGCGCAGAGAGGTTTCGCTCTGGACCACCTGGTGAAGAAGCTCAAGCAGCCAGCCAGTTCATCGCAGATGTGATTGAAAAGTAAGAACCATCTTAGTACTGTTAAAACACAAGCAACTCTGCAAGAGTTTTCTATTGCCTTGCTTACTCTCATTTTATTTTAGTTCACAGATGCTTGTGAAAGAAGATCTGTGTATTGCCAATGGCAAGGTAAGTTGTATCTCAGAATGAAGAGGGAGATAGTAACAAGATCACAGGACCTGTACACAAGTACAAATACAGAAGGTATTTAAGGTTAGAGGGGGTTTTAGTGTTGTTTTTGCTTTTCAGTGTTCATAGTTTACATCCTAAGTGCAAAAATCAAATAATAGAAATAAGTATCTCTATTTAGTGTGGCCAAAATTTTCCTAATCTATTGCACCATTTGCTTAGCTGATGTAATTTCTCACATGTGCAAACCTTTTTTGATAGCTTGCATGGGTGTTATACTGCGATATCATATGTCTGGACTATGATGGAAACCTTCTGGATGCCAGTGTCTTTGCTTTGTTGGCAGCATTAAAAAATGGTAAGGCTTCCTTAGAACCAGAGACATTCTGATTAGTGTTTCTTGGAGAAATGCACTCGTTTTGAACGCTGATAAGTGGGCAACTTGTTCCTGGGACTGTTTGTTTCCTGTCATCCGAATGCAATACAAGGTGGAAATGATGGTGGGATGCCATAGGTGTGTAACACATGAAAAGTAGGATCTTTTTTGTACACTTATTATTGCTTTTTTAAAAGACTAATAGCTATTCTGCCACATGTTCTCTGGAGTGAGATACCCGAGTCTTTTGGCAGTGGCCATGAACGAGTTTAACATCTACATGGAGTATTACTTTGATAGTGTATTTTGTGTAGGCAGGATGAGCTGCTGGAGGCTTTGCTTACACAAGTACTTTGTGACAACAGAATATTCCTTTCCTAGATTAATGAATTATCGTCTGTTAAAAATATGTGTGGCCTGAGTGTTTGCAGGTGTGTGGCTTATAAATGCATGAAGGCAGCAGTTTAAAAGGAAGCTTATGGCAAGGCCTCCCTTTCTAACTGTGAATTACCAGCTTTGGAATTGCCCTAGCTACTTTGCTCCTTGTCACCAGCAATGTATGGGTTGTCACAGCAAGAGTTAGCTGAAGGTCAGGTTGCACTGTTTCTACAAATATATACAATTCATGACATGAGACTATATTCCTAGTTTTTATATGTCCAGTAGACTTGGGGAAAAATACTTCTGGTTAAATATGACTCTGAAGTATTTTAATTGTCTGGCATTTTGGAAGTAGAAAATATTTGTGTGTAAAGAGAAAAGCTTCTGTTGCCTAGAGTACAAAATCAAATACTTCCTTGAATGGGTAGTTCTAAGCTAAATACTTTCCTTGAATTCAAAATATTTTTTTTTTAATAGTGAGTACCATTAGTGTAGGAAAAACTATTCTGATTGATTTTCAGTGGGTTAAGAGAACAGCTTAAATATTGTCAACAGTTGTTGTCAACATCTCTAGGCCTGCTAAATCCAGCATGTTTAATATTAGACCATTGTAATTTTTTAATCTCTTCAGTGCAATTGCCGTTGGTTACGATAAACGAAGAAACTGGTTTATCAGAAGTTAATTTAAAACAGAAGAATCCTTTGATTATCAGAAAGCATCCGGTTGCCACATCATTTGCTGTATTTGATGAGTAAGTTCCAAACTGTTTTGTACTTTATGGAAACAACAGTGTCTGTAAAACAAATGGAAGACAGAGGATGCCACCGGTGATGTTTGTGCGCTTCTGCCAGGGATGAGAGTGGAGCCTCAGGCAATGCTGCCCCAGCCATCTTAAATCCACAGCCTCTCTCATTGAAGGGGCCTCTAGTACTGTGATGTAAGGAGTGCAAGGAACAAAGTGTAGTCTGTACTGTGCAGCTTCTTCCTGTGGCTTAAAGCAGAAGTGGTTCCCAACCTAAAAGCTAAGTTTAAAAGTGCAGGGATGGGTACTGTTTTAGGTTTTTGAAGTATCTCTAAGATGAAAACATTACCAGTGCAATTAATGTTTTAGAAATCTGTGTAATGGATAGAAAGGATGATAGCTTATGCCAAGGATATAGTCAACAAAGGAAGTAGGAAATAGCAGTCCAGTTAGAACCCTGGAACCTCTGGATAACTGAAAACATAATTACCCAAGGTGAAGTGTAACTAGCATGCTTAAGTCATGTTCATGTAGGAAGAGAATCTGATTACAAGAATTCAAAGTAATCACATCTAATAACTTGATTGCTCATCTGAAATTGTCTACTTGCTCTTCCTCATGTCAAGAATGTTGTGTTCTGCTGCTGTTTTTAAGAAATGCAGTAATTTCTGGTGATATCCATTTGCAAAGCAGAAAGTGACAGGATAGTGCTCACTGTGCTATTCAAGATTTAGGCCTGTTTGAAGATCTAGGGGGGTTATGGCACATTAATGTGTATTCACAGAAATTATTAGTATGGGCCTTTCATCCAAGTAACAAATGGGGTGGGAAGAGCAATAATCTCAAATGTTGACTAAGTGATTACCAAAATGCACCAGAGCAGGACATTATTGGTACTTTAGAATGCCTCTGTTAATTGCTTTGATACCATTTCTGCTGGGTCTGAAGTTTGATGTACACTGAGAGTTTGGGTAACATACTAGGCAGACAGCTGTCAGTAGGGTATTATTTACACACAAATCACACATACTTGCATGTAGACCAAAAAGCTGCTGGGGAAGAATGCTTTCCATGAGTGTCTGTTGGGCTTTGTTTCCTTCCCTGAAACCAACTGTTGCATCAGACAAGTTACTGAAGTCTCCTTTTACCTCCTAAACTTAAGTACTGAGGGGGTGTCTGCCTGTGTTGTGTGGTTTGTATATATATATATACATATTTTTTTTTTTTTTGTTATTCTGGTTAATAGAACTAACTGTTGCATCAGATGAGTTACTGAAGTCTCCTTTTACCTCCTAAACTTAAGTACTGAGGGGGTGTCTGCCTGTGTTGTGTGGTTTGCATTGTTATTTTTTTCTTAATAACCCTTTCAATAAAATGCTTTACATACTCTGGCTTCCAGAGGCATTTTTCTTCTGCATAAAAGGCCTTCTTGAATAAATGGAAGTGGTAGGTTGCTGGTTAGTGTGGTCATGGCTGAGGAGCACTGCTGCAGGGCTGCTCCTGTGGCAAGCGACCGTGTACGTCAACAACAGCCATGCACTGAACTGCTCATGTGACAGTATGACAGCCAGAATAAGCTGTTTTAAAGCAACCCAGTGAATCTGTTTTTGAACTATTCCCAGTCTGAGTGAGGTTAGAGTTCACTGACAAAAAATTGAGAACTACTTTGGTGAACTTACCAGTGGAAATGAGTTTTGCTTTACGGTGTCTGGTAGAAATTAATGCAGCCTACACCTAAAACCAATGCCAGTCTTCAGTGTAACTACAAAATAATTACTGCAATCTTTCATATTGCATACTGCAAATGGCAATTTAGTGGCATTTTCCTGCAATACATCACTGTCACAAATTTATGAAACCACTTATATGGCTATTTTCCACATGATTATGTGGAATCTCCCACATTTTTGGCTATTTTCTTTTTTTTTTTTTAATTGGTGCATTTTGGTAGGAGAACAGAAAGCTTGAGCACTAAACTGATCTACAAGTATTTTGTAAGACTACAGTAAAAATTGTATTTTGCCATAACATTAATGGAGCAATGTATACCAACATATCTGCATGCATTTCTTTTACAAGCACATTACTCATTGTTGATCCAACTGCTGAAGAAGAAGATTTAGCAACGGGAACAGTAACCATTGTAACTGATGAAGAAGGCAGACTGTGTTCTGTCCATAAACCAGGTACTTCTAAATGTACTACAAAGAAACCTATGGAGATGATGTTAGATCAAGAAAAGATTCTGTACCTGCTTTGCTTTGTGAGATGCAGGTGCTTTATGGTAACAGAGTGTCTGCTTGAATAGTCCTTAAATTACCTGCTCTTGAAAGGAGTTTTAAGATGATGGGTGGCATGACTAAAGTTCAAAAAGCAGTCACAGCAGAGGACTAATTCTGGGCCTGTTACAGTTTGTTTGTTGCCATTATCTTTGCCTGAAGCTAAGGGAAAAATGCTGCATGCTCCCTAGTGAAAGGTGCTGGTAATGACAGTTACTGTATTAATGCTCACGTTTGGAAATCACAGTTAGATACACGTAACTGAAGTATAAGTAGAAAATCAAATTGTTCCCTTCAATGTTTAGGTGGAAGTCCTCTTACAGGAGCCAAGCTTCAAGACTGTATCACCAGAGCAATTACAAGACACAAAGAAGTAAAGAAGCTGATAGACAAAGTAATAAAAAGTATAACACCCAAGTGAACAAAAAAAGAGCTCTTTTCAAAAATGGATTTGTAAAAATTGTATTTGTTACAGTGTTCACAAACCTTTTATACTAAATAAACAAATACCAATACTACATTTACAAAGTTCATTTTTTCTAAAATGTTTTTCACCCTTATTCTATGTACAATGTTGTTGACTGGTAAAAAATACAAGATAAAACATTCTGTTAAAAAATTAAGTGACTAGAGGAAACCAGATCCTAGCCGCTTTATAGATGAAATTTCTAAGTTCTGTAAGGTTGGCTTCCAAAATCAGTTCATTTCTTTTAGTGTAATGTCAAAAGTTCATTTTCCCACCAATCATATAAAACACTAATTTTATTTTAAGCCTGTTCCTTAATAATCTGAAAAAAAAAATCCCCTTCCAGTCAATTTTTGGGGCGGGGAGGCAAGTCTCATGATTTTGGAGGGGCTGGTGTGCCTCTTTTCCTTTTACTTTTTGAGTGGCTGCCTGAATGTTGTTGATGATGCAGGTGAGCTGCTTGTGCTGCTGCCGCTGCCATAGCCATTTGATGCTGCAAGAATCGCAACTGCTGCCATGAAGGAGAAGGGAGAAAAAGCTTGTTAGTGTTGACTATAAAGCTTTCACATCAGGAAGAATGAAGGGGGGGAGAGAAAGAAAAAATGAGGAAGCATCAGGTTGACAAAAGGAACACACCATGTACTGGGGCAATGGGTACAGTCAAGCAGCACCAGTGGCACAGAAGACTGCTGAGGGCACAAGCTAACATTTTACATGTGAATGTGCACAGCTTTGTGTCTTTGCCCTTTCTCTTCATTGCAGTAACTGCAGTAACTCAGCAACTTCACTGAGTGTTTGGGTTGCACAGTACCTTTTTAATGTGATAGCTTCTCAGTGTATGCATTGTAGGAATTTTCTGTATTTATTACAAACATGAGACTGTGTGCTAAAAAAGTGCTAAAATGTTTTCATGAAGCATCTGAATGGTAAAGAAATGCTTTGCAGAGCTCTTGCTTTCATGTACTGACTGTAGCAGTGCTACATTCGAACTTCCAGGTGCTTACATCCGTGCCATTTTGAAATCTATTGGCAGCTGGTACAGTATTTAGATATGTGCCACAAGCACCCCTTGAATGTTTGCAAATCAGGAAGGTGGAGGGCTTAAACAAATAAAAATAAATTCAGTGCTCCAAGCTGAGACAACCACAGATTTCAGGTCTTGCATGATAGCTTGCCAAATACATGTTGGTTGTGTTATTTTTCTTTTTTCCTTCAATTTACGAGACCATAACTATTAGTTAAAAAGAGAGCCCAAGAGGGCAATATTTTTGATTTTGGAGCCAAGAATTGTATTTTTAATTTAATTTTTTTTAACACAGTCAGAGTGAAGTTGCTGGATTACTTGTATCTGTTGCTGCTGCTGCTGCAAGGCTTGTTGTTGTTGCTGTTGCAAGGCAGAAGAGAGCTGGAGTCTCTGCTGAGGAAGGCTTTGCCCAGGTCTGTTCACGGCAGAGCCAAGCTGAGACAACACTGAGAAAGGAGAAGGGGAAAGCAGGCAGGTCAAAGAGGTCAGGTTGAGTTGGTCAGGGGAGGAAGACATAGGAATACAGTGTAACAGGAAAGGGGGATCAATAGAATTAGTTTCAGAGTCAAATTTGGATCAGTGCAGAATAAAGTATACATGATATACATACTCTGTTAGTTAGAACATAATTTGATTATGAAGTGCTTGTGGAGACACAAAGGTTTCTCACACTGGATGTTAAGCACAAAGTTAAAGAAACATTCCTTAATGAAGTCTGGCATGAAGTTCCCTGCATTTTCATTTTGTCTTAAGTGTAACTTGTTTTCATGTGATAACCATCAATTGATGGCACTTAACTGCCCAACAAAGCAGAGAAGTGCATGCTTTAGAAGTCGAGTATTTCTCATAGAATTCATGTCCTGATAATAAACAGTAAATCATTCTGATCTAACGTAAGACTTCCTTAAGACCAAACTTCATTTCAGTGTGAATTTATCAACATAAACACTTCACTACAAAAGGAGGCTCAGCAAGCACATACCTGTGGCTTGAGGTTGCATAAAATTCCCTACTCCAGTCAGGTTAATTACAGCAGCTTGTTGGGCAGATAATGCCTGATCTTGATTGGATGGACCTTGGTCAGACCCCTAGCAAAAATGAAAAGCTTGATCCTTATTACCAAACTTTCGTATCAATGAATAAGCAAATAAAGCCAGTGTGAAGGCAAACTTCTGAAGTGCCATTTAAAAACATTAAATACTACATCATCCAGTGCGTGCCAGATACAGACTATAGTGTAGTCAATATCAGCAGAACAAACAGATACCGAATACCCCAGAACAGCTTTGTTTTGGCAGAAATGGTATTGCTGCTGTTACCCAGCAGAAGTCCACGTAGTTGTCAATTTCTCTGCAGTCTAGCAGACTACACTTCATGGTTGTAATCTTATGACAATTTCCTGTCCCACTCCCAGCCCCAGTCTTTAGAGGACCCCAAGATATCCATGTGCAAAGGTCCTAATCAATCAAAGTGTGCAAAGGCTGACACATTCCCATGTTCATATTGCACCACACGCTCCTTCATTTCAAATACAGACCCTGCTTTTAAAATTATGTTTTCAGAACACCGTAGTTTTCACAGTAATCACTTTAAAGGAATTAGTGGAGTCTGACCTAGTGTCTCCTAAAGTCAAAGGGTGCTGAATTATGACCTCTTTTAGAACTTAAATTATGCACTGATTTATAACACAGGGAAATAAAGTATATGCACAATTCAAGAAAACTGCATGGCTTATGAGTCGGAAAAAAGCTGCTTCAGTCCAGGAGCTGCAATACTTCTTTAGCATTACATTATAATGCTAAGATCTAGGAAAACCAGACCAAAAGATTGCACGTTGAGACATCATCATCTCCATGATGAGTAAAGAGACATAGAACCACCATGTAGGGAAAATCCCGAAGTATGAGAGGCATATTAATCCCTAAGCATATTTATATTATATTGGTAGCACAGAAAACTATTGTTTCTGAGCCTAAGCTTTCTCACTAAGCACTGAGAGTACATACATCCCTCTCCTTATCAAGCTAAGGAATCTAGTGTTTTAATATCTCATTATAGCCAACAATCCCCTCCTCTATAATGCAAGGTATGAGAGAAATTCCTTAGGGTGGTTTAACCAATGCAGAGATTGATTTTCTCCAGAACTTCCTGCCACAAGAACTATGCTTATGTCAGCCTTTTTATTAATGCCCGCCCTTGATATTCAATATCTAGAAAATAAAATCCAACAGTACAAGGTCACTTTTTTTTTTTAGTAGTTCAACTACTAAATGACATTCAGAGATTCGGATGCTGTGAACAAATTGGGAAGTTTCCGTTAAACTGTCCCACAATCCAGAACAAGACCTGTGGCACAGGAGGCTATATACCATAAAAAATTTCAGAGAGGCATCTTATTTATGAACAGTCTACAGTATCACAAATGAAATTATGACAGACTTGAGTATGCAGTAGAGAGTATTTGGTAAGCAGAAGGCTTGTGTGTCTGAGAACACAAAAGCAGAGCAGCAAGTTTTCTCACACTGCTGCATCAATGTTGGTTAGGGTTTTTAAGTACTAACCTGGTACTTGCACCTTAGGATTTTTAAGGTGCAACTGGTCACTCAAAATTTGTCATTTGAGGATGGATCAGTGTCTATCGCCTTTAACACTAATTACAGGCAGCAATAGAGCAAATGTCTTAAGATTAAAGCTTTAAAGACAACTAGTAGTTTCTTTGGTGTAAAGAAAATTCTGCTGAACTACAGCAGCAAGGTTTGTAAGCCAACTCAGCAGTGTCAGTAACAAGTTTTTGTTTCTCTGTAACAGTCCTCACTGCATTTTTTCTCTGTTCATCTGATATATCTATTTGTTATGATAAAGCACTAAGCTGATTTTACACCACTCATACAGTGGGGCTGGTTCTCTTCATGTCAGAGTCAGACAGTGCTCAGCAGTTGTTACAGATTTTCTATACAGGATATAAAGAAAGAAGTATAACCCAGCTCCAGCCATGGTAAGAGCCACTGCACTCTTTGCTGTTTGAGAAAGTTTAGGAGGAAGAGTTTCAGATCTATGGGGTAATGGCTCATTTACTTGTGTAGATGGGGAGGAGAAACTGTTTCCTCCACACACCCCAGACTGTTTCCTCCACACACCTCCACACACTCCTGTTCTCCTTGTTGCTGGGGACTACAGGTTGTAGGCTGCTGAGATTGTTACTGTGGAGAAAACTGTGACAGCTGCTGCTGGAGTGAGTTAAAAATAAGTGAACCACCTGGAAGCTGTTGAAGATTAAAAACAAAAGGCATAATTCAATCAAACTGCTGAGTTTCCTACTGTTCTAGGATGAACTATTGATAGTGGTGTACTTCCCAGAGGCTTGATTTTTGTTTTGTAATTAATGCCTTTAAAATCAATCAATTTATAATTGTTGCTGTTTCTGAAAAAGGCTCATGCTCTAAAAACAAACTTGCATTAACTTACAGAAAGATATTTCCAGAGGAAAATATTTAATTAAAATGGCAGATACTGTACTGATACTAGAAAGATAAATGCCAGTCTTCAACTGCACTGTATACCATTTTCACTTTCAGAATATTCCACTGAATTTTAATAGATAGTGAAATGGGTTTGATTACTACCCCTTATTCCAGCTTTAACTGCACTTATTTCAGCTGAATTGTTCTTGGTTTATATGAGTGGCAGAGCTGCCTTGAAAGAATGTCCTTCAACATGTAATCACTCAAATACAAGCATTTAATTCTACAGAAGAGCTCTATTCTGGCGTAACTGCCTCCTGTGCCTGCCCTTTTCCATGTTTCTGGAGTGTACAGGAGTGGGAAGAGGAAGTAGCAAAGCTAGTAGTAATTTTTTGAAGTGTGGTGCAACCTATGAGGAACACATTAGCTCCAATTCTGCACCGGCTACTGGCAGCTGACTTCAAGGTCCGGGATCTCCACCCAGTTCCACAAACAACCCCTGCTCTGCTTTTAAATGCAACTCTGACGTAATAAATGCTGCTCATGTTTGTATTTGTATGTATGCTT